CTATCAATATCTGTATCATTACTAACCTAGACTACATACTTCTCTGTATCCTTACTAACCGCTACTACATACTACAGTCAAGCAGTATTTATATCTGTATCATTACTAACCTAGACAACATACTACAGTCAAACACTATCAATATCTGTATCATTACTGACCTAGACTACATACTACAATCATACACTATCAATATCTGTATCATTACTAACCTAGACATTATACTACAGTCAACACTATCAATATCATTACTGATCTAGACTACATACTACAGCCAGACACTACCAATATCATTACTGTATCATTACTGACCTAAACTACTTACTACAGTCAAACACTATCACTATCTGTATTATTACTGACCTAGAGAAAATACTGCGGACAGGCACTATCAATATATGTATTATTACTGACCTCGACTACACACTACAGTGAAACACGTCAATACCTGTATCATTACTGACCTCTACTACATACTACAGTCAAATAGAATCAACATCTGTATCATTACTAACCTTTACTACATACGACAATCAAACACTATTAATGTCTGTATTTTTTTCTGACATCTGGAAACAAACAATTCAAAAGAGTAAGTCGGTCGAGTCTGAGATATTTTTCAACACTTTAATGAGGTTCCTACTTGATTATTATGAAGTTTTATCTAACTTTATCTAAATTTATCAATAATTGTGCCTTCTTCAGTGTTTACTAGCTAAAGAACAAGTTATATTGTGATAGAGTTCATCGTTTGTTGATAATAAACAATTATACCAGTTTCGTCCAAATTGTGCATTCTACACGTTTCCAAGAACAAGGGCAATAACTCATCAAATATTTCTTAGATTGTTTTATTTTCATAGGGCTGATGAGAGGTTCTCGAGTATTTACAAGCTACAGACTGGACGCATTTCGAAAGACAAGAGCAATGCCTCATAACAATCAAAACATTGTAAATTTATAAATTTTATTGATTTTTCATTCATAATAATCACTTCTATGATACTATACTAATCAAGCAATTAGATGATCAGTAGGAATAGGCTTTGTTGTTTTCCTTGCACATAGTTCAAATATAGAAACAGTTGTCTACAAATCCTACGCATATCATCAGCCGCATTGAGTCTATTTCTATCTTTAGTTTTGATGACTAAAGTGTCGAGGTTCGTTTGGGTTCGTCGTGTTGAAGGTCACCAGAAATCCTGAAACTCTATAATTCTTCTCCTACAATAGCCTGGGAACCAGGAATATACAATATTATAGCTTGGAAATTAAAAATTCAATAAAAGTCTATCAAACGCATAGCTTTATGAAGTATGATCATAAACACGCATTCCTTATGGTTCACATCACATAGCGATTGCAGAAATTTTTAGACAGTGAAATTTAGCATCCAAAATGCCCGAAAACCATAGTCACCGATATTAAATATGGCTGATATTTTTCTTCGCTAGAGATATTAAAATGCTTATTTTAGTTTGTTAACAATGTGAAATGTTCACAATATTTATATTTTTGAAACCTAAAAAGTGTGATTTTTTAAAATTTGAAAAAAAATTGGATGAAATCCACCAAAGAAAAAAAACGTGGTAAAATTTAGTTACCACGTTTTGTCTCCATAGACTTACATGGTGACAGTGGCCTAATTTAACAAGTTACCACGCCGTGGTAAATAGCTGTAGGGGTACTTCTGACTATTTACCATGCTTACCACACCAGTGGTAAATAGCCACTGCCTTTTATATCGGGTCGATTTGTCGCGAATGTGTATGCTAGTTGAATGTGAATGTTAAGTTCAGTCCGGTGTATGAATGCGTATTAAACTTCAGCTGGCGTAAATAAGATCCTGCTCCAATTCTATAACATATGAAATAGTCTACCCACATCCTACTTAGTATATCATAAGCCTACATAATGTCATGGTAAGTTTTTACATTTATCAGCTGATCTCAAAGAGTCAAAGCCTGCTGTGCGAGCAATTAGCACCTTATTATTTTAATATGAAGGGACGGTAGCGCCATTTCAGAGGGTTGATTTTAGTCTTGAATATAATGTAAATAGTCTTCAGAAGTACTAGAAATGTACGA